CTACCGGTTAAAGCCACTTCCTTTCTCTTTTTCTCAGTTAACCACTGTTTATCAGTTAATATATTGCAATCCCCTCGAAGTTGACACTTTTCTTTGGTTTATTACTCTCTTTCTTCCGGCCCCTCGCAGTCCATCTGTCCACACCAACCTTTTGCCTTTCTCCACAAAATCTTTCTCTTGTTTTTCTTTAGTTAATCACTGTCTGTCAGTTAACGCACCGAATTCTCTGTAGATCTTATCTTTTATTGATTCTTGTCTCTTTTCCTCGGCCCCGTCGCCATCCTTTTGTTTTCTCCCCAGTAGAGTCATCTTTTTTAGTGTAGTCCCCGACAGATTTCTTCTTTGTTCTCCAGTAGAGTTTTTGCCTTGCTTTTGTGCTCCCCTATTGAGTTCGCCTTGCTTTTGGTTGACACTACTCTTTAGTGTTCCCTAGTGGAGTCTTTCTATCGCTTTCGCTTTTGGCTTTAACGTTGTTTCTTTTCCTTGTCTTTTTTAGCGTTGGTTCCCCAAACTACGTAGGCTCTGATTTCCTCATTGCACTATGAGGGTACGTAGGCACAAGATTGCGAAATCTTGGCGAGCCACCTTCCTCCATCTTTTTCTTTGGTCTCTCTGGTCCGTTCAGATCTTCTTCTTTTTCTTGGTTCCCTGAACTACGGAGCTCTGACTTCCTCATTGCACTATGAGGGCACGTAGGCACGAGGTCTCCAATCCTCCGCAAGCATGTTCTTTTCCTTTTCCTTTCCTCTCTCTCCTTTCTTTTTAGTTAGAAACATTTAGACAAATAACCCATCCAAGGCTAGAAGTAAGCGAAATGGTTCCCGTCAGGTACAACAGATGCTTAAGATGCTAGTACCTTCCTTTGGCATAACCGACCCCCTTTCCCGTTTCTCTTCCCTTGGATTTTATCAATATTCTCCATGTCCTTTAGGACTAAATAAAGTTCAGTGGTGACTCCGTTGTATCTTTGAGTGTGCGATTCACTCAGGTACAATCCTGCTAGCTTCAGCTGGCGACTCTGCTTGGGAGTCCTTGCGCTTGCAAGTTGGGGTCTCTCCTAGTTTTCTGCTGTTATTGGGATGGGTAGATATTATTGAATAGATAAGTTATAACACTAGGCTTGAGCATACACATAGGATAGAACGTGGATAGTCGTGACACCTGCGTTTTGCGTGTTGGGTTGTCACAAGAGCTACATCCCAGATTGTGATTTGCTTGAGAATACATCTGTCCTGTGAGAATTCACTACGGTGGGGGGTTTTCACTTGAGTCTGATGGTTTGGAAGAACTTTCTAGGGACCACCTTATTGTGTATAGATCACACCTGTGAGAGGGATATAGGTTTTTGAAGGAAACCAGGGCTCTTCATACCTTTTGTTCTCTCGCGCATGTCAGATTTTTGCACTGGTATAGAATTATATGCAGATATTCAGATTGTGCAGATTTGGATATTCAGATTATGCAAATTTGATTGTTCGGATTTGTACTTGGCTTTGTGGTTCTTGTGTTTCATTCCATTTCATCATAACCATTAACATTTTCTGCATGTGCATTTTCCAGGTTATTTGAGAGCTTAGTCTTTGTTGGCATAGTCATAGACGATGAGTACTGGTTGCAGGGATATCTTCAGTTACAAGTTTGTAGAGCATAAGCTGAAGACTTTGAGGGGTTTGGCATCTTGTCTGGTTGAAGATAACAGAGGATTTTTTAGAGATGGTTATGGTAATATTTTGGCCATTCTCAACACTGAAGTCAACATTACTGCTATGCATACACTTGTTCAGTTCTATGACCCATCACTGGGGTGTTCATATTTCAGGATTATCAGTTAGCACCTAAACTTGAGGAGTACTCCCATATCTTGGGGGTTGAGATCAAGAGTCAGGTTCCTTTCGTTTATACCAGCATTTGTCTGAAGTTTCCTCTTATTGCCGAAGCTCTTGGCCATAGTAAGAAGGATGTGGAAGACAATCTCAAGACCAAAGGAAAGTGTATTCGAGGGTTTTCTTTGAAGTTTCTAGTAGACAAAGTTGTTTCTTTTGCCAAAGCTGGAAACTAGAAGGCTTTCAACATCGTGTTTGCTTTATTGATATATGGGATCGTCTTATTTATGAACATGGAGGATTTCATCGATCAAGCTGCCATCAGTATATTCTTGTCAAGGAATCCAATTCCTACACTTCTCGCTGATTCCTATTATTCTATTCATTCCCGGAATGAAAAGAAGAAAGGAACTATTGTTTGTTGTGCTCCTATGTTATATCTATGTTTCATGTCTCATCTTCCGCAGAAGGGTCCTTTTGTGGAGAATAGTGGGAATCTCAAATAGTCTCAGAGGATCATGTCCCTACTAATGACATCTCTTGGTATTCTCGAGCCTACGATGGTACCAAGATCATTCTTCATTGTGGTAAATTCTTCAATATACCTCTCTTGGGTACAAAGGGTGGAATTAACTACAATCTGAGGCTTGTCTTTCGTCAGTTTGGATATCCGATGCTTAACAAAACAGATCTTGAGGCAGTGGAAGAGTTCATCTTTCATGAAGGGGTTGATCACATGGATTTGCTGAAGAGATTCAATGTTGCATGGGTACACATTCACCGCAAGGGTAGAGATAAATTGGGTAAGAAGAATTGTATTACAAAAGAAGCCTACAGATAATGGGTTAAGGAATGAGTTCAAGCGACTTTGCTACCATTTCCTTTCGAGTCTTCTATACATATCAAGCTTCTTGAACTTGCCATTGTTCCTCCTTTAGAAGTCGATCAGCTCAAGCAGGTTATTGAGAAGTTGAAGAAGAAGAATGTCGATCTTCGTCTCAACCTTGACAAAGTCACATCCGAGAAGGAGAACTTACAGATGGATCTTCGCCAAAAGAGGGAACTCATGTGCAAAGAGGTGGAGTTTGAGCAAAACAAGCACTGGAAAGTAGGTGATGCTTTGAAGAGCACTTACGACAGACTTTCCTCGAAGAAGAAACAACTTATCGATACTCAGTATCAAGCCCATAAGGATGATTTGAGCTACAAGAAGCAACTTGCAGATCTTTAAGCAAAGCTATCAGAGTACAAGACAAAGTTGCAGGGTGAACAGGATCGTGCTGACCAGTTGATGAAAGATCTTTCTCAATGTTAAGTCGAGCTTGACAAAGTCTTCAGTGATGTTCAGAAGCTTCGAGATCAGGTACATCAGGGCCGGGAAGAGATCAGTCAATCTCATTTGGAGAGTACTCATTGGGAGCGTCGGAGTCGTCATCTGCAAGTCCTCTTGGATCAGAAAGAGGCATTTCTACAGGATCTTCTTCAGGGACCTAATCATTCTTTATTGTTGTTACACCCTAATTTTGACCTTGGATTTCCGACTGTACATATCATAGCATTTTCATCATTGGAGCATCATATCCATTATTCATGTCGTCTAACAGTTATGCCTACAAAATATGTACCTTTTGTTTCTATGTTGTCTAAGCTCAAGTTTTGCGAGATTGAATCAAGGATCGGGCAGAAGTTATCAAGTCAAGTTGCGGCAAAGACAGTTGTTTCATGTTGGATGATCATTAGGGCAAGCTCTCGTTCGATTAGGGTTTTGGCATAGTGAAAGCACAGTTTATGTCTCAGATCATCTAAGTTATCAAATTTTGTGAGGATAAAGAAGTGGCAGATTCAAGTGGTCTATGTTTAAATCGTCAAGTAATCAAGATTAGGGTTTTTGTGCGAGATCACAAATTGTCTGATAAAATCCAGTCATAAATATTTGGCCTCATATTTTAAATTGTTGAAAGTCCTTGTTACGTGGTCCATGTTTTGGTCACAAAGGAATTCAAGCTCTCTAGATAGAATCAGGATGTGGGGCTATTTGATTCAGAGCCTCAATACATTTATGGTTTTAGATGGGGTCGTTCTTATTTCTATTTCTCGAAGAATTGATTCAAGATGTTAAGACGATTTCATATGGAAGGTGCGAAAATCCTCATAGTTTTTTTCTTCTTCAACACCAAATGGGGAGTTCATTGTTAATTTCCATTTTCAAGGCATAATTTCCAAATCACAACCTCTTGTGTCAAAGATCACATTTCAAGTTAATTTTGAAATTTCCATTTCAATTCCTTTCCAAAATCTAATTTCAAAGTCCATTCAAAATTTTAATTTCCTTTCAAATTCTTTCTAATTCATGTTTCTATTTATTTTTTTCTTTCTAATCTTCAATTCAATCCAAGTTTCAATTCCTTTTGTTTTATTTGATTCATTGCAAGTTACAAATTCAAGTTCAAGTTTACTTCAAATTTATTTCCGGTTTCATTCTAATCAATTCCATATTTCCAAAACCATTCAATTCATTTCTTTTCGAATTCATAAACCTCCAAGTTCAAGTTCTATTTTAATTCAACTTCATATGTCATGTCCGAGTTTCCAAGTTTCATTCCCATTGTAAGTTCACTCCAAGTTTTTAATTCCAACCTTTCCCTAGTCGTGAAGCCACGTTAATTCAAGAGCCCAAGTTTGGGCATTCAGTTGACAAATCCACATCAATTATCAAGTTACAATTTCATACAATTACATATTTTTGATAAGTTACAAAATTCTATATTTGAACTACAAACACAAATACATAAAGGCCTCCATTAATAAGTGTCTATAACATGTAATCCAGCTTATACATGTCTCGCATGAAGGGGAAAGGCAAGAAAATAAATTCCTACAAGTGCTAAATAATAGCACCCGCACCTCTTGCCGATACCCCCACCTCAATAACACTTCAACCACAAACCGTAAGCCAACCAAGGAAAAAACTTGCCATCAGCTGCAAATTGCGAAACCATTGCCACAATAACTTGTACGAAAAAGAAATTGAAGCCTTCACGTAAATGAATAAAAAACTAGTGGTCTGCCATGACCCCACCTTATCCCATCACATAAAGCTTGATTTCCCAACTGACATAACCTGTAAAGTTCTAGCTCTCACAGTCTACCACTACTGCTCTAGCTGCCCATAGACACTCAAACACTTTCTAATATCATCAAAGAAACAAATCCATGAGCCAAAACCTGCACAAATTTGCACCAAATTACAACCATTACCAAGCGTTATGATGAAATATGAAAATGCAAGAAGACACAATTAAAAATGAAGAATAATAGTTGTATTTTGAAATTAAATGGAAGAGAAATTGAGCCAAGAAAAGGGAGAAAGTAGCAAGAAAACCTCAAAAGGAAATACTCACAATTGATCCCTGCAAAATTGTACAATTTTTGCTACCATTTGCAGAAACCGCGCCCCAAATACCACACCTGCTACATTGCTTGCAACGCACAACTCGTATGAGGTCTCCCAACAGGCCACGCGCAACATAACCTTGCACAAACCTGCAACAATTTGCACAAAAAATTCATAGTTTTAGAGGACCACCAACTTACCACAAAGCCCACTACAGACAAAACATAAAACATTTGCAGTAGGGATTTGTACGGTTCCTCATCTCCACCCATAACCGTTTCCAAATCCTCATTAACCCTAATTTTGCTCCTATAAGAAATACACTATTCACCCTAACAGAAAAAAGCAGTTCCAGAAAAAAAACCCTAAAAAAACTTATGCCGCAGCCACACGGTGAAGTGAACTCTAGTTTCACTACACACAAAAAAACCTAAGTAATTTCCATAAGGAATCCCTGATTCAGAGCAAGCCAGACATGAATTCATAGAGGGAGAGGAAGAAGAAAATACAAGAGTCAGAAAGAGGTAAACGAGGTTTACCTGAACGCGTCGCGAAGCTTCTTTTGGAGCATTCTTCGAGAGGTATCCTTTCGAACCTTGTTTTTATTGATCTTGAGCTACCCATTTTGCTTGTTTGTTGTAAGATGTTCTTCCTATCCTTCCTATTCCATTTTGCTTGATTATAGTAAATTTTACAACTAGGGTTTTATTTTGGAATTTTAAGATTCGTGGATCTAGAGTGGGTTTTTGTAGATTTGGACTTCAGATTCGTGATTTATGGGTTTGGTTTAGGGGGTATAAGTTGGTATTTGGGTGTTTGGCCGGAGAAGGACGGTAGCGGCCACCGTGCGCCACCGTCTTCTCCGGCGGGTTTTTTCGGTGAGCTTTTATTGTGGATTGAAAGAGAGATGAAGAGAATACTGAAGTTGAAGGAGAGAAAGCAATTTGGGGGTGGGATCCGTGTTATCCTTACTTGCATGGCTCTCTTTTGGGGTGTTAATCCAGATGATGACACTTATCATCTTCACAGTGCATCATCAGTTTCCTATCATAATCTCGTGTGTCATCAGCCTTCTGCCCTTTGGATCTATTGCCCAGGACAGATCTGACGGTCAGGGGTAACTGAGGGTCCATGATGGACTCTCCCCCCTCTCTCAACTGCATGGGCCTTAGGGTGCTTGGGGTTGGGGCGGTCTGCTAAATGCACCCCCCAGTTGCTTTGTTTTAGCAGGCCCATTTTTTTCGTTTTATTTTATTAGCAATAATTAATTTGTAGTAAATATGTATAAATAAATAAAAAAAATGATTTGTTAATTTAGTTAATTATTTTACTATTAATTAATTAAATCATTAGTTTATTTTTTTTATTTTGGTTAGTATTAAATATGTATAAATAAATAAAAAATGATTTGTTAATTTAGTTAATTATTTTACTATTAATTAATTGAATCATTAGTTTATTTTTATTTTATTTTTGTTAGTATTATTAATTTGTAGAAAATATGTATATAAAAAAAGAGGTTTGTTAATTGTACTAAATATACTTAATATTATTTAATTTTTATTTAATTTTTGTTATTAATTTGAAGAAGTATATGTATAGAGAAATAATTTGTTGATTACGTCCAATATATTTGTAATTAACTAAATTATTTATTTATTTATTTTTTAGTATAATTGGTAGAAAAGCACATATATATGATTTTATTAATCATGTTAAATATAATTATTTAATATTAATTAATTAATTTTATTAAATTTCTTTTTCTATTTATTTATTATTTAATAGTTTGGTGTTTGATAGTTCGATTTAAATTGTGTAACTTTCGATTATTTATCGCGGTCGCATGATTTCACCATATGTTTTGTCTACACTGTGATCATACTTAGCGAAGTTCTTACACACCCATTCAAGATGATAACAATTTCTCGATCCAACGTCGAGCCGCTTTCACCCTTGTAAGTCGAGTGCCTATGCCTCGCCATCGACCTTACCCTATATTCTTAGGATCTCCTAACCTTTAGTTCAATCGCTTTCGTTTCTTACGTAAACTTAAACCTCTATTCTCGTCGATTTTTTTTAAAGCAAACTTAATATACTTAATCATATCTAAACACAATTTCGGTAAAGATGAAAAGGGGTTTGGAATCGAGTCTTTGATTCCTCTTCTCAATTGTTTGGGTCTGATGAGCCTTTCTTAAGCTCGAATAATTGCATTCTAATCTGATATACGAAATCAAATCTATTTTCATAAACACTTAGATGAAAAAGAGAGAGAGTCAAGTCTTTGACGCACTTTCCCGATTACTTGGGCCCGAGAAGTCTTTCTTAAGCCTCGAGTAATCATCATTTATAAGCCACGCTAATTATATCAAAACTATTTCATAATATAAGATGAAAAAGAGAGAGAATCAAGCCTTTGACTCACTTTCTTGGTTACTTGGGCCCGAGAAGCCTTTCTTAAGCTTCAAGTAATCCTCATCCGTTTAAAATACTTCAACTATCTTCCATCGTTCTATACTTTTCCTACGCAACCTCTTTTTGAGATGAAAAAGAAAGAGAGTCAAGTCTTTGACTCACTTTCCTGATTACTTGGGCCCGAGAAGCCTTTCAAGCTTCGAGTAATCATCATCCGATCAGCTTATTCGAACCACATCGTATCCTTTCGCAGTTCAGGTTGAAAAAGAGAGAGAGTCAAGCCTTTGACTCACTTTCTCGATTACTTGGGCCCGAGGAGCCTTTCTTAAGCTTCAGGTAATCATCACCTCTAGCTAAGCATCTGATACATCAAACCTCGTTTCCTCGCCCCCGTGCGATCAAAACCTCAAAATCTATTCAAATCTATTCTCTTATTAAATCAAATACATCAACATATTAATTCAATTTCTCGCCACCGTGCAAACTGTCAAACTCTTTTCATAAACATGAGATATAGTGTCTTGAAAATGACGCAAAATATTGCTTCGTCTGTAACCTATTTGAGTCGAGGTAAGTGGTGTGTTTCTCATGAATGTTGATATATGGAAATCCATTCAAAGTGATGCAAGCGTCCTCTCCTCACCCGTTTAGATAAAGCAATATTTTCTATCGAATACGACTAAGTATCTTTCGATAAAATCAAACCAATATTCGTAGTCCGAACTACGGACGCTCTGATTCTTCATTCTCTTCTGAATGTAAGATACGTAGGCACAAGATTGGGATGATCTTGGTGAGCACAATTCCACAATTCCTTCCTTTACCCGTAGTCCCACGAACTACTGATGCTCTGATTCTTCACTTCTTTTCAAGTGAAAATACGTAGGCACAAGGGCCCTAATCCTTGGCGAGCACTCTAAATCGAAAACGACCCATTTCCCCTTAGCAATCTAAAATCTTTTATCTTACCTTTACACCTTTTATCTTGGAAGAAAACAAACAAACTAGGCTAACCTTTCTTGTGAATCGAATCAAGAGGTTCCCGTTGAGTACAACGGACGTGAGGGGTGCTAATACCTTCCCCTCGCGTAACCGACTCTCGAACCTAGGACTTGGTTGCAATGACCGTATTCTTTCCCTAAAGTTTTTATCAATATTTTCCTATTCCATAATGAAATAAATAAAGTTCGGTGACGACTCGGTGTTTTCTGCGATCATTCGCGAAGGATCGTGCTTTTTTTGAGGTACGACAGCTGGCGACTCTGTTGGAGAATTTAGGAATGCCCTATGCAAGAGAGAGTCAAGCCTAACTTGACTCGATTCGTAAGCGTTAGTCTCGTTTGTTACTGTTCTTCCTATGTTGTTTATCGCTTGCTTGTTTATTTATCTACGTATTTATTTTTATTATGTACCGTATCTGTATTTCTTGTGATCATTGGATTTTTCTAATTATGGGCAATCTGTGAGATGGCTCTATACCCGAGTCTTAGAAAAACATAGGATTAGAATGGTGGTCGTGTAGTGGAATCCCTCGAGGAGCCTTTCTCGTTGGGAGGATACGAAGACCCCGCTTAGAGTTGATTCCCTTGAGAATGTTATTGTCGTGGTGAGTCTTCGCCATGGTAATAATGTTTTCAGGCCTGAATTGATAACTCTAAGGACCTTTTAAATATTTTCCATGGTGGTTGGTAGTATTAACTCATGAGGGTCACTCCTTGTTGGGTCGATACGAACGCCAAAATCAGATGAGATCCCTTGAACGTATCGTTATTCTGACAATGATATTTTCAACCTCGATCTATGACTCTGAGATGCCCTTTAGAAACCTTGGACTCGATGGTTGTGTAGTGGAGATTCACGAGGAGTCTTTCTCATGGGACAACGCGAAAACCTCACCTAGACGAGATCCTTTCAAATATATCATTATTATGGTATCTCTTTGCCATGGTCATAATGTGTTTGAAAGGAATCCATGACTCTAGGCACCTACCTATTAGAAGCCTACCCATGTGGTTCCTGTAATCAGAGGTTATCCTTCCCGCTTCAGAATTGTGCTTATGGTCCCTATCCTTGCATCTGTATTTCATATCATAACATTTGCATTTTCTTTGGTTTTTCAGGTAATCTAAGAATTAAGTTGTAGGTACTCAGAAATTATGGGAGCAAACACTAGAAGCATGTATCCTTACAGTGTCAGAAATCCCAAGTTAGAAGACTTACGTGGTTTGGTTTCATGGATCCCTGCTGTTTTCAGAATCAATTTTGGGAAAGATTTTGGCAAACTGATCCATATCTTGACCCAAGAAGTAGATCAGAAAGCGCTCGTTACTTTGGCTCAGTTTTATGATTCTCCTTTGAGGTGCTTCACATTTCAAGACTTCCAATTAGCGCCAACGCTTAAGGAGTACAAAAAACTGGTGGGTATTCCTATGAAGAACAAGTTGCCATTCGTGGGTGTGGATCTATCTATGGATGATAAGATTATTATTGATGCTCTCCATATGTCCAAGAAGAATATCTCTGATAATTGGAAAACTAAAGGGGGTGTTAAAGGGCTTTCTCTCAAATTTATCATAGAGAGAGCTGATACCCTTATAGAAGCTCAGAGTTGGGATGCCTGTTACGCTGCGGTAGCTTTGGCCATCTATGGAATTGTCTTGTTTCCCAATATAGACGACTTTGTGGATGTGAATTCCATTCATATCTTCCTAACTAAGAATCCTGTGCTAACTCTTCTAGCAGCCGTCTTTTATTTTATGAGTTGGAGAAGTGAAAAGAAGGGAGGATCGATTGCTTTTTGTGCACCTCTTCTGTATCAGTGGCTAAACACGCATTTACCGACAAATGAACTATTTTTTGACCAAGTTAGTGATAGTTAGGCTCAAAAGATGGTGTCTTTCAGATTTGCTGACCTTTCCTGGTTTTTGCTAGATTATGATGAAGTTATTACTAATTATGGTGAGTTTCTGAATATCCCGCTCATTGGAACTCGAGGTTGTATTAACTCCAATCCTATGCTATCAGTGAGGCAACTTGGATATCCAATGGTGGCCCCTCCTGAAGGAAAAGATTTAGAGACCTTCATGATACATGACTTGGGAACAGAAAACCCAGAATTATTCAAGAAGATTGTGAGAGCCTAGAGAAGTATTA